TTCTTCCACAACCCAATCCAGATTAGCACAAACAAATCCCAGTTCTACTTTCTTTCTCCACTCAGTGTGGTTGTCACCTCTGAGAGTCGGAACTTCTTTTAGGCAACTCATCAAGCGATGGCCTCCTGAAATCACAATTTAAGTGACATTAGTATAACAATCATATGCAATAATCTAACGTTGGTCAAATTAAACATACAATTTTCTATGCAATTAAATATTTATTACTGTTGGGTAAAAATATTAGAAATAAATGCACCTTTAAATTTCAATAATAAAACTTGATCATGTTATTAATAACGTTGGTCATAAAAAATAACATAATCATATTCATTTTAATAATCACTTTAACATGCTCTTAAAAACATAATTCTATCTAAACTTTTATTTTCTTTGTAAAAGAGCACTAATAATTATTTACGCAGCGGAAAAACATGAATAAAAATTCATGAACTTTTTACTCTTTACAGAAACTTTTCTTTGACCAAATAAAAATTCATGAACTTTATTATTTTCTATATAAAATTCATGAGCATTTCTTTTCTGAAAATTTTCTGTTTGCATTTTCAGAAACTTTTTCTGTCACTTTTCTATTTTCTAGACAAAATTTTCGTTCGAAAAAATTGCATAGGAAAGCTATTTAAAATCTGCCCAGAAACTGGACTAGAACTATAAAAAAATGAAAAAGGAAAACTGATGCACAGGCGGCCTCGGCCCAGCTCGCGTGGCGGCGCCCGCAGCTAGCGGCCTCGGCCCAGCTTGCGCCTTCTCTTTCGGCCCAATGACCCGCAGCCGCTTTAGGTTTTCGATCGGGGCCGTCCGTCGCGATCCGACGGTCCAGCGTTGATCTCGCCCGAACAAAAAAGGAGTCGATCCCCATCGACCAAAAACCTAGCGTCATTCCTCCCCAGCCCCCGCGCCTCTCTCGCGCACTCCGCTGATGGCGGATAGACGGGCTTCGCCCCGGCCGCCGGCGGCGGCGGCGGATGCCACCGCGCCGCGCGGGCCTCTCCTTCCATCCTTTCCACCTACTACGGCAGGGAGAACGAGGCCCAGCTGCTCCCGCTCTTTTCCCCTGCGCTGTCTCTGTCCCGCAGCAAGGTTTCGGGCCTCGCCGGCCGCCGGCGACGGCGACGAACCGCCGTGACGCGCAAGCCCCTTTCCTTTCCCCACTTCTGTTTCCTTCCTCCCTCTATCCACCGAAACCAGTGAGAGAGAGAGAGAGAGAGAGAGATCAGAGACGCCAACAGAGCCCTGCGCTTCTCCTATGTGCATGCGATACAGCGGAGCCTCCCCCGTCCCTCTTGCCGGTGCGCGCGAGCTCCAGAAGGAGAGCGCGCCGCCGTCAAGTAGTGCGGTGGTGGTGCCCTTTTGCCCCCTTGGAGAGGCTGTGTGGGGATCGAGAGGAACGGCGCGGCCGGACTGGCGACGCACTTTGCCGCCGAGGCCCGAGGCCATCTGCCAGTAAATTTTTCTTTGCCCTCTGATTAGGGTTCTTGGGGAGGGGATCTCTTTTTCTTTTTCTGTTTTTTCTTCTTCTTTGTACCGAAATCAACTAGCCCGATCTGGCTATCTGATACCATTGATAGACCTTGGATCGGAGTAGGCTAGTAGATCCGGTGAACCTACCTTCTCCAGGTGCGGATGAGCTCGATCCAGTGCCGGCCATGGTGGTGTGGTCACGGCGGCGACGCGGACAGAGATGGCGGCGATGGAGGAGCTTCCCGTCGGCCTAGCGCAACCCTAGATCGGATTGGTGTGTCGGTGGTGTTGTGGTGCACGGTCAACCTCATGATGCGTGCCCCGGCACCCCACCTCTTTATATTGCGCTGGCGACAGGGCCCGCCAACCATAGTTTGGTTGGACGCCCCCGATCAGGGCGCGAGTCAGGGCCCGTTCGACCCGTTGGGTTCGAACGGGATAGAGATCAACCTAACATGGGCCACTGGGTTTATGGTTGGCAATGTTTCATTATATAGCAACCAATAACTAGCAGCCCTTGTTATACGCGTTCATCGAGCATGTACAGTCTAACATCATTCTGATCATTTAGCATTTGATATTCTAAATCGATATGTTGGATGGCTTGCAGGTAGCCCTCTCTGCTGCCTCTTGAGCCCCATGGACATTCTTCCTGAAGGTAATCACAGCAACATCTTATATACACGAAGTTTAGGTTCAGTTCAGGGTAGTTGTGTGTGGTTAGTAAGCTATCCAACTCCAAAATTTTAATCTAGCCATTAATCTTCATATAGAGAGTTGGTATGGAAGTGGAACTTAGACACATAGTCTGATAAGGGGAGTCTGTATCATCTTTTAATTCAGTCGATGAACTGCAGAACGTAGCATACAATTTGTAGAAACTAGAAGCTCAACTTCTCAGTGTAAAGACTAGGAAGAAGTTTACGTAAACTAAATTAAAACTTCATTCACGGTTTTACAAAGAAGTTAAAGCAGTTTCCACTTTCTCATGTCACGATCCACTAAAATACTTTAAACTTAGTTATGTTACTCTCATGGTCAGTTTCATTTCAAGCTGTAATAGATACATATACTCCTGCTGTTTGCATTGTCAGGTTTTATAAATTTAATTTCACTTTTCTATCTCCATTAGTACTTCACTAGCTTGTATGGCCACATAGCTGAGATGGTTACCCATTCAGTTGGCCCCATTTGGTTCTCATTGTTTTTCAGTTGCTCTACTAGCTGATACATGCATCTATGGGGATATTCTTCTGTACCTGTTCAAATGATATGCAGGTTTGAGCTTTTGTCATGCCTAAACCGTTTCAACCATATAAGATCCAGAAAAAAAAACGTCAATCCTTTTTTGTTTTCTTATTCCTTGAGATGTATCACTTTACGCACATGCTATTGTTTACTGAAAATCTCCCCTGACATAAATCCTTATCTCACACTTGAACATTTTAGCGTTTTGAATAATTATCCATGTTATTATCAACCTGCTGCTGAGACTAGAATTGATCAATGCCCAAGCAAAACTGTGTCACAAACGTTTGTATCAATTAGTCACCACCTTGTTTGATTTTTTTTAGCTGAGGATTCACTTGGAAATCTTGACAGAGCAAAATACCATGTCGAAATAGCAGAAAAAATGTTGATTGGTCCACGGATACAGCCAGACCAACACTAACTGGGCTAACCAACAGCTAGGCCCGTGTGCACAAATTAGACATCATTTTCAATACGTAAGGTGCATCCTTGGTGTTTTGAACTTGAAATTAGAGGTTAATTTTCTTGTTTTTTTTGTACTGAACACCTTTTTTTTTCATTTCTCAAGGCTTTTGTTATGGACAGTGGCTTTCTCAAGGTACATCGCTCACTGCTCGAAGGTGCTTCGCTGTTTGGCGTGATCTGGCTATGGCCAAAACCAAGCTCAAGTAGCTGAGGTCCTTGTTCTATAACTTCTGCTATGGGTGCCCCATTGCGTGTGACAATGAAGAGCTTCAATGGTTCTGCGAAAAAATTATTGCGGTGCTCCTCGCTGTTGATAAGCTTGAGGTGATTTCTGTCATGACCTATGACCTACTATTTGTCATTGCCATTGCACGATTTTGAGTTCGAACTTCAACTTCAGTTTGTTATATTCTGTGTTGTTGGTCGTAGTGTATCATCAGGTTGGTTTAGCACACAAGTAGATGGCAAAGATGATCTATGTAGGTTTACACAGAATGAACATTCTACTACTCCCTCTTTCCTAAATATTTGTCTTTTTAGGATTTCAAATGGACTACCACATACGGATGTATATAGACACATTTTAGAGTGTAGACTCACTCATTTTGCTTCGTATGTAGTCACTTGTTGAAATCTTTAGAAAGACAAATATTTAGGAACGGAGGGAGTAGTAGTCTACTGTTACTATAATAATCCTTTTGCTTGTATGTCCATCTTAAGAGAAATTGTTGTAACATTCTAGTCTGCCATGGTACGTATCTTCTGATTGTTCTGTTTTTCACTATGATGATTTAGATATCTTGTTGGACACGATGCATTGAATAGATCTTCTATCCTCAAAACTACAAAGTACTCTTTTCCTTTAATTTCTTTTACCGAGGCAAAATCGCAATAGAACGGTCTGCACTCCTAGCTTTTGTGCAGATCTCTGATAAATGGCGATATCTAATTTTTTTCATTCTGAGTATATATACTTGAATTAGTGCCTGTTACTTTCTAGTGGTGCTCGGATCAGTAGCTCACTAGTACTAAGGAACAGAGGTAGTAGTTCTTAATTTGATTACGCAAGTTGTAAATCCAATTTGGCTGCGCACTTATCTACTAAACAGACCACAATTCCTCAGCCGGATTGTGTGCCAGCTTTTGTAGCATGACTTGTCTGCTGCTGTTCTTTCTGTTGAACATTCTCCAATTTCTTTGTGTAAAAACACTCTGAAAATGAAAAACATGCTGTGCCGCAAGCATGATTCTAGTACTAGTAGCCTTTTCCTTGTCTCCTTTACTATTTCGATGCTACTCATTCTTGCTCTTGTGAAGCTTCCTAAGTGTCCAACTTCCAACTAGCTAGATTAACATTTACGAAGAATTTGTTGTACGTGAAGGCACAAGTGATGTTTTTCACGAGGCTTAACGATAGAGTTCAGCTGGCAACGTGATAGCGATGGCGATGCATGGAGTACATCGAAGTTGTATTGAACATTTGAACCTTATAAAATATTAAAGTTGCGACGAACTCAGGTCATGCATGCGGTGTCCCAGATACTTGATTATTTCAAAACAAGTCAAGCACCAACCGGCTCCTTGTTATCCACGATTAGGAAAGTGTGAGCAGGCCGGCTTAGATATGTCAGTCGCTCACTTGATTCACCACAGCCAACGAAAGAAAATTCTAGTAATAAAACTATTAAAGCAACAAGAGTGAGATAGCCAGCTTGGAGAGCAACAAGGCTAGTCCATTTCTTGAGTAGCTAGCGCTGCTCGTCTCTTTTACTAATTAGCAGGCTACTCCAAGGTCACAATCCATGGCTGAGATGGTCAAGTCTGTCATTGTTGGGGAGGTAGTTAGCCGGATTATTTCTGGTATTGCCCCCACCAGCAAAAACGAGGGCAAATCAGATGAAGAAGCAGGAGGAGGAGGTGGCCTAGAGAGGCTGGAGATGGCGCGCATCAAAATGGAGGCCGCCCTTCAGGCGTCCGACAGGTGGCAGATCACCGACATGTCGCTGCTCCATTGGCGGAAGAAGCTCAAGCGCGCCGCTCAGGACTGTGACAACGAAGCGCGCAGATGCAGGCAACTTTCTTGGGAAGAACATGAGGCAGAGCAGGTGGTAAGGAAATCCTCATTTCCCATACGTGTCGCTCATGCAACCAAGGCATTCATCTCCTCTCGTGCTGGCTGCAACAATGATCATTCCTCTGCGGGCAGTGCCACTGCCGTGGCCATCCGAAAATTTGAGTGGTATGCAGAAGGCGCTGGTGAATTTATCAAATACGTGCAACTCGGCGGGACACCACGTCAACACCTATTCTTTGACCCTCTCATTGGGCATATCTTCGCAGGCAAAAGACTGGTGTATGAGTTGTTGCATCCAGGAGGACGATATCAGTTCTTCGGCGTAAGACCGATGAGTTTCGAGGAGAGAGGGCTGGAGGCCATGGTATCCTTTGTGTATGAAGATTGCAAGATGCCAAATAGTAGTTTTTGCTTCGGGTTCATGATGCGCCTTTCGAAGAGTACGGACATAATTGGAACTACGGTCAGTTGCTTGCGACTGGTGAACCCTCACTTCAAGTCCATGGCCGACGCCATCATAAAAGAGATCACCCAGCTACCCACGCAAGATTTCTCCTGGGTGCCGACAGAAGTTAAGAACAGCCACACAGAGTACTGGAACAGCATCCACCGAACTTTGACAGGATGGTTCCGCCCAGACCCACTATGTTGTCAGGGATATGATCATGACAGCGTGCCTTTATGTTGTAGTGGCGGTGATGCCAAGGGCAACAATGGAAACAAATTTATGCTTTCGAGCGAGTTTCCAGAACCAGTATGCCAAATGTTTTTGCAACGTCACATCTCACTTTCCGAGTATAATAACCTGCTGCTGCCAGGACCAACCACAATCTCAGGTTATGAGGACACTGCTCCAGAGAATTTCCCACCTTTGAAGCTAGGAATCTTATTTATGCCTCATGATTCTCTAGAGGAAGGCCCCAAGTCTGCTGGCGAGGGCTCTGCCATAGAGGCGATAGATGGAGAGAAGCAAGGCCTTACACATGCGAATGTTCACCCACACCAACTTGCTGACATCTTGCTGCCCAAGGCGATAACTCATCTTTATACTAACACTCAGGCTACGACTTACCAGATATGTTGGACGTCAAACCATGGCAGTGCACACATGTGCGTGGAGAAGACAAGAACACTCAAACGATGCAGTGGCATCAGATCAACACGGCGAGGTAGGAAACTTAAGAGCACGAGTACTAGGGTGCGTTGTCATATGCAGCAGATTCAACAAATAAGGGAAGTGCAGTGGAAAAGGCTAGCCAGAGATTTCCTCAAATTATGGACGGTGCGTTCCTCGGAGAGATTGCGGAGCTTGTTTTCGGCTTGGATTGAGCAGTACTGAGGCAAGCAGCACACTAGAAGTTAGTGGCCTAATTTTACATGTTGCTTGTTGAAATCTACCCTAGACCGGTGATGTAGTTGAGTCAAATTTGTGCCTTTTGTTTCCCCTGTACTGAGATGTCTCGTTTAATGGCTGGATCCTTTGGTTTGGATGTGACTGGAGAAGGATTGCGTCCTAATTATCCAGGTCACTGGCTTCTGTAGCGTTTGACTGCAGTTAGTCCAGTTTGTTGCAGCTTTACTTTGGATGTAACGAACTCCTAATGGTTTCTAGTAATGAAAATTGGAGGAAACCCTTTATACACATAACAAAAAAGACAATGAAAAGCTTCGCCGAGAATGTTGCATCCAAATCGATATTCATCCATAGACACCATGTATGTCTCTCTATCTCCATCTTGTTCCAAAATTGTGTGCACCATCTCCAAGGAGTATGTCCCCAAATATATTCTCCAACACCCATTCTGTTCCGCCCGAAAGCAAACCAACTCCTCTTAACTAATGGTATGAGGCAAATCATGTGTGCCCATTTCAACAAAAAAGCTACAGCTAGCAGATTTAGAGATTTCAGTTGCACTTTTTTTTGGTAGCCCGGGCCTAGGTGTTTCAGTCGCTTACTTGATTCACCACAGCCAACGGAAGCAAGGAGCCAAGGATTAATTACAAAAGAAATAGAAATGGGGGCCATAGGAGAACAACAAGATAGGCTAGTCCATTTCTTGAGCAGAGCGGCCAAGGGCCGGCTCTCACCACACTAGTAGAAAACAGGGCATACGTTCGGGCCAGATAAGCCCATTAGTCTCGGTTCAGTCACGAACCGGGGCCCATGGGCCCATTGGTCCCGGTTCGTGAGGCCAGGGGCCTGCCGGGCCTCGTGGGGGTATTGGTCCCGGTTCGTCTGGCCCCTTTGGTCCCGGTTGGTGGGACGAACCGGGATCAATGGGCAAACACGCAGAATGGTTTTATGTGTTGTCCATGCCCTATATGTGGGAATATAAAGTCTTACTCTGACTCGAAAATCATTCACACCCACCTGCTTTATAAGGGTTTCATGCCACACTATAATGTTTGGACCAAGTACGGAGAAATAGGGGTTGTGATGGAAGACAACGAAGAAGAAGAGGATGATGGGAACTATGTGCCCCCCGAATATGGTGATGCTGCAATAGGGGAAGCTGTTGAATATCAAGAGGAACCAGACGATGTGCCCGATGATGATCTCCGCCGGGTCATTGTTGATGCAAGGAGTCAGTGTGAAAGTCAAAAGGAGAAGGTGAAGTTCGATCGCATGCTAGAGGATCACAAAAAGGGTTTGTGCCCCAATTGTGAAGATGGCAACACAAAGCTCGGTACCGTACTGGAATTGCTACAGTGAAAGGCATAGAATGCTGTGCCTGACAAATGATTTGAGAAGCTACTGAAAATATTGAAGAAGAAGTTTCCAAAGGATAACGAATTGCCCGACAGTACGTATGCAGCAAAGAAGATTGTTTTTCCTCTAGGATTGGAGGTGCAAAAGATACATCCATGCCCTAATGACTACATCCTGTACCGTGGTGCGTATGAGGGTTTGAACGCATGCCCGGTATGAAGTGCATTGCGGTATAAGATCAGACGAGATGACCCTGGTGATGCTGACGGCGAGCATCCCCAGAAGAGGGTTCCTGCCAAGGTGATATGGTATGCTCCTATAATACTACGGTTGAAACGCCTGTTCAGAAACAAAGAGCATGCCAAGTTGATGCGATGGCACAGAGATGACCGTAAGAAAGACGGGAAGTTGAGAGCACCCACTGACGGGTCGTAGTGGAGAAAAATCGAGAGAAAGTACTGGGAGGAGTTTGCAGGTGACGCAAGGAACGTATGGTTTGGTTTAAGCGCGGATGTCATTAGTCCTTTCGGGGAGCAGACTAGCAATCACAGCACCTGGCCCGTGACTCTATGTATCTATAACCTTCCTTCTTGGTTCTGGATGAAGCGGAAGTTCATTATGATGCCAGTTCTCATCCAAGGCCCTAAGCAACCCGGCAACGATATTTATGTGTACCTAAGGTCATTAGTTGAAGAACTTTTACAGTTGTGGATTGGAAAATGTGTACGTTCGTGGGATGAGCACAAACAGGAGGAATTTGACCTGCATGCGTTGCTGTTTTTCACCATCAATGTTGGCCTGCTCTCAGTAACCTTTCAGGATAGACAAATAAGGGATACCATGCATGCACGCACTGTTTAGACAAATAAGGGGATGGGATGTGAGAGGCCGCTAAACCTAGACAAATATTAAGGAAAATGGAGTTTGGAGGTCGATCTTGGACATTCCATCGAACACCTCATGTTCATAGGAGGTGAGCTAGAGCACCGCAAAGCCCTTCCCTCGCCGGCCAGAAAAAATAGAGTAGTGTGGAGTGCTCTACTCGCCGGCGAGGGGGTATATATAGGAATCACATTGGTCCCGGTTCATTGCTGGAACCTGGACTAAAGGACACCCTTTGATCTCGGTTCAATCCACCAACCAGGACCAATGGTGGTGGGCCAGGAGCGAGGCCCCTTGGGTCCGGTTTGTCCCACTAACCGGGACCAAAGGGGCCAGACGAACCGGGACCAATGCCCCCACGAGGCCCGGCAGGCCTCCTGGTCTCAAGAACCGGTAACAATGCCCCCATGGGTCCCGGTTCTGGGCTGAACCGGGACTAATGGGCTGGCCCAACCTGAACCAAAGCCCTGTTTTCTATTAGTGCCACTTAAAAAAACATAGCAAAACATTTCAAAAAATTCCGGAACTTTGTGACAATGGTCATCAACAAATGTTATGGGCACTTGCAAAGTTTGGTTGTCAAATAACATTCGAGGAGCTCCGTAGAAAAAAGACAAAATCACTGAAAATTAGTCAAAATGTAAGTACACTGTTTGAGCAGATTTTATAATTTTGTATTTTTTGTACAGAGCTCCACGAATGTTATATGAGTACCAAACTTTCCAAGCACTCATAACATTTGTTGATGATCATTCCCACAAAGTTTCAGAATGTTTTGAAATTTTTTCCTATGTTTACTTGCGTGGGTGCACCCTGGATGAAGCCACTATTTTCCCTTTATGATTATATATATATAATATACTGACAGATAGTACTTCTTTGCACAAATATATGTTCTGTGATGGGAGAAAGTGTCTAATAGCATTCTAGTATGACTCGAAATGGAATTAGAACATCGAAGAGAAGTCCGAGCCGAAGATGCAGAGCCGACATTACACTTTTGCTGACTCGTTGTTATGCTTGTAGCAAGAATTAGCTGATGTTCTGTGCAATCTGTGAAACGAAAGTTTGCTCATGTCAAACCCCATACATAGAAAAGGTACAATCCTCAACAAATGACTCCGCTCACTTTGGCATTCAAATAAAACCCATTTGAAAACCGCCACATTAATTCCTGTGAAACTAGGCCACTTATCACTAGTTATTCCCTAATTGCTTGTGCCATTAAGTAAAAGAGCTCCTCAAGCTCTTAGAGGAGCACACAACCCATAGTTTCAGATAATCTCCGACTGTCTACTTCCACTTCAGTTTCTTCGCCTGCTGCACCTGAGGATGCGACCTAGTACTCTTACTGTTTCTACCTCCTCGTGTGGCTCTGCATGCTCCATGCACCTTCTCCATGCATAGATGTGCTCTGCCATGGTTAGACCTCCAACATATCTGGTAAGTGGTAGTGTCGGCATTATGATGAAGATAATATATCGCCTTGGGCAGCAACATCTTGTCGAGTTGGTCTGGGTGAACATCTACATGTGTGAGGTTGTTTTTCTTCTCTCCATCGATCACCTCTATCATAGTACCAGCAGATGTAGGGTCCTCCTCCAAAGAGTCATGAGGCAGGAGCAAAATTCCAAGTTTCAACGACAGAAAATTCTCCAAAAAATAGGTGTTGTCATAACCAGAAGTTGTGGTTGACCCTGGTAGGTTACTGCACTCGTATAGTGAGATGTGACGCTGCAAAAAAAACCTGACATACTGGTTCCGGAAATATGCTTGATAGTCTCAGTTTCTGCCCACCATTTCTGCTGCTACTTTCACTGTTGTCATGACAAGAATCATATCCTTGACAACATAATGGATCCGGGCGGAACCATCGAATCAAAGTTGTATGGACGCTGTTCCAGAGCTCCATGTGAGTAACACACGAGAAATCTTGCGTAGGGAGTTGGGTGATCTCTTTGATAACAACGTCTGTTGTGGACTTGAAGTGAGGTGTCACCAGACGTAAGCATTTTACTGTAGTACCAATTATGTTGGTACTCTCCGAAAGATGCAGCATCACCCCAAGCCAAAAACTGTTCTTGGGTTGCTTGTAATCTTCGTATATAAATGATAGCAAGGCCTCCGGTCCACGCTCCTCGAAACACATTGGCTGTATAGTGAAGTGGCAAAACTGGCCACTCGGAGTGAACACCTCATACATAAGTGTTTAGCCGGCAAAAATATGCCTAATGAGAGGGTCGAAGAACAGGTTATGTCGCGGCGTCCCTCCGAGCTGCACAAATCTCATGAATTCAGCAACACTGTTGGCGAGCCTCTCGAATCTTTGGACAGCCCAGGCAACATCTGCGTAGTAGGGATCATTGTCGTGGCCAACAAAGGAGGAGATGAATGCCTTTGTTGCGTGCACGACACGTCCAGGAAATGAGGATTGCCTTATCACTTGCTTTGCCTCTTCATGTTCCAGAATTTTTTTCCTGCATCCGTGCGCCGTGTGGTCACAATCTTGTGCAGCACGCTTCAGCTTCTTCCGCCAACGGAGCAGCGATGCATCAGTGATCTGCCAGTTGTCTAACATCTTGAGCGCGACATCCATCTTGATGCATGCCATCTCCAGCCTCTCCAATCCACCTCCTGCCACTTCTCCATCCCATTTATCCTTGACTTTGCTGCTGGCGGCAAGACCAAAAAAGATTCGGCTAACTGCTTCCCCAACAATGGCAGAACTAACCATCTCAGCCATTGAT